AGGAGCCCCTAGTAGCGTCCTTGCTCCTAGTAGTAAGGCCAGGAGCCTCTAGTAGTGTCCTTGCTCCTAGTAGTAAGGCCAGGAGCCTCTAGTAGCGTCCTTGCTCCTAGTAGTAAGGCCAGGAGCCCCTAGCTAGTAGCATCCTTGCTCCTACAAGTAGTAAGGCCAGGGGCCCCTAGTAGCGTCCTTGCTCTTAGTAGTAAGGCCAGGAGCCCCTAGTAGCGCCCTTGCTCCTAGTAGTAAGGCCAGGAGCCCCTAGTGGCGTCCTTGCTCCTAGTAGTAAGGCCAGGAGCCCCTAGTAGCGTCCTTGCTCCTGCAAGTAGTAAGGCCAGGGGCCCCTAGTAGCGTCCTTGCTCCTAGTAGTAAGGCCAGGAGCCCTAGTAGCGTCCTTGCTCCTAGTAGTAAGGCCAGGAGCCCCTAGTAGCGTCCTTGCTCCTAGTAGTAAGGCCACGAGCCTCTAGCAGTGTCCTTGCTCCTAGTAGTAAGGCCAGGAGCCCCTAGTAGCGTCCTTGCTCCTAGTAGTAAGGCCAGAAGCCCCTAGTAGCGTCCTTGCTCCTAGTAGTAAGGCCACGAGCCCCTAGTAGCGTCCTTGCACCTAGTAGTAAGGCCAGGGGCCCCTAGTAGGGTCCTTGCTCCTAGTAGTAAGGCCAGGAGCCTCTAGTAGTGTCCTTGCTCCTAGTAGTAAGGCCAGGAGCCTCTAGTAGCGTCCTTGCTCCTAGTAGTAAGGCCAGGGGCCCCTAGTAGCGTCCTTGCTCCTAGCAGTAAGGCCAGGAGCCCTAGTAGCGTCCTTGCTCCTAGTAGTAAGGCCAGGAGCCTCTAGTAGTGTCCTTGCTCCTAGTAGTAAGGCCAGGAGCCCCTAGTAGCGTCCAGTAAGGCCAGGAGCCTCTAGTAGTGTCCTTGCATCCTTGCTCCTAGTAGTAAGGCCAGGAGCCCCTAGCAGCGTCCTTGCTCCTACAAGTAGTAAGGCCAGGAGCCCCTAGTAGTGTCCTTAGTAGCGTCCTTGCTCCTAGTAGTAAGGCCAGGAGCCCCTAGTAGCGTCCTTGCTCCTAGTAGTAAGGCCAGGAGCCCCTAGTAGCGTCCTTGCTCCTAGTAGTAAGGCCAGGAGCCCCTAGTAGCGTCCTTGCTCCTAGTAGTAAGGCCAGGAGCCTCTAGTAGCGTCCTTGCTAGCGATAAATATGGTCTACAGTTCCGTCTACAGCTACAACGCTACGCTCGCCACGAGGCCTTTCCACCGGTGGGGCTCTACCACCATGTGCTCCGCCTCCGATGGGGTGCTGGCGCGGTGCCTTCGGCGAACTTGGACCAGTTGCGGGCGGTCACGTGACAGGAAGGGCGAGTGTCGAGCAACGATTTGGTGTCTCTTTCAGTGGGATTTCAAGTCTATTCAACGGAAGTATACGAAAGTGACAAGTCCATCCACCCACGGGGGGGCCGTGTGTGTGTGTGTCTATATATATATATATACAAAAAAAACGCATTATAACGCGATGACAAGCGGTACCAGATTAGCATGCGGTGATTTTAGGAGGGATCTCATTCTCAGTTGCCTCACCATGGGTTGACCTTGCAAGCGCGGAGAACTGGAAGATACGACTAAGACGGAGCTGCTGGAATAGTAATAGTTCACATCGTTTCTTTTGGCCAGTCAAGAGTCTTGCGTTGATTTAGGTGGTGGATTGTGCATGTGTGGATGATGGGTGTGTTGTGTTGCATGGCTAGGGCTGCTTGTCACTTTCCCACCTATCACCTAATTTGTTGCTTGCCCAGTTTGTCCCCTGCCTCAAACCCTTCTTCTCTTCCGGCCGAGGTCCTTTTCCTGATCCTCGGGAAGACTGATCTTCTTTCGGAGGAGACCGAGTTGTGCGGTGGATTGGACGGGCCACAGGTTGCAGGCCCTGCAGTGGTGCTGGAGAATGGGTTCATGGCATGTGTCATCAACGTAAGAGTGGAAGGATCTCTTCAGAGCACCCACCCTTTGTGGATCATCCAAGATGCCACAGGAGAAGCTGGTTCCTGCCATTGCCGTTGAGGCGCCGTGACAGACACAAGCTGTATTGGTTTGTCCGAGCGGTGTTGGCTTGGCGCTGGGTTTTGTGAGTTTTGTGGAGGAGTCTTTCAGGAGTTCCTCCCAGTCAAGCTGGAATCCTTGGACCATCACAAGCCTTTTTTGTGCAGTCAAAGACTTCCCTTGACATGGTCACAAGCTTCATGTTACACATTCAATGACGTTCATCTTTAAACACGGGAATTCTCAATGAATATCATGAAGTTGCTCCAGATTTCAGCTGTCCAAAATCTGTCCAAAACAATCAATTGTTGACCCAGGCTAATTCATACCAATTCGGCAGATCGTTGGTTCGGCGATTCCATCTCGAACAAAAGCGCTGGGTGCAGCAGGAGTTCCGCCTGGCGGTGCCGCCACTCTTGGCGCCTCAGAGCTGACCGGGAGGGCGTATCAAGAGTCAGGTATGGGTCCATACCAGGGTTCCAGTATGGATCCAACATTTGTGATCATTCGAGTGGTGGGAGCAGGTTAACCAAAGGCTCTAGTTTTTACAAATCCCATTACCAGAGTCGCGTTCTTCTCGATCTGGCTGTGGATCAAGATGAGCAGGTCCCCTGCCACCTTGAGTTGGCGCTGTGTGTTCCCCAAGCTGCCTTGGAGAGCAGATGGGTATGGCTAAAATTTCTATGCCTCAACCTTAACAAGAACGTATGAGCAAAACCAGTGTTTTGCTTGGTGGTTCTTATTTGTTTATTAATATGATATACGCACATAGATCTCCGCAGGTAGGCCATGACCGTCTTGAGGACATACCTAAGCGCTCCTACTCGTTCTCTGAACGATAGGTGAGCCCACAACTGTCTACGTGGTATGAGGCCTTAAACCAATTTAGGGTCCGGTGGTTTTCTTGGGATACCACATGTATTAACAAGAAGCTACTAGGAACAAGGGCATCGCTACTCGTAGGACTGCTAGTAGCAAGAACGCTACTAGGGTCTGCATGGATCTTCCACAAAAATGCAAGTGTTGGGTCCCCCCTCAAGATGGCTGCGAGGAGCGAGGAGTCGAGCGAGGGGTGAAACAAGAACACGCCATCAACCAACTGCTTGGCCTCCAACCAATGTCCCCCCAAATTGAATACCGACAAACATGATTTCATTTTTGCCCCCCCCAAAAGGGTTCCTTGAGCTTAGCTGGTTTTACACAGGGTATTAAGTCGACTGTCATTGCCCCAGAGGCGGTACTCATGGAAACGACACAAAAAAAACATCAAAAACCACCGTCAACCGTCATGAGGGGAGTACTTGACCAGGTTTGGAATCAGATGGTCGTCCGTGCCGTGTTGGTCGTTTGGCCTTCCCAGGTTCCCGCTGAGCACATTGTCGCAGCGGGACGATCCGACGCTGGGAGGCTGACGGCTTTGGGGTCTGAGCGGGCCATGCTTTTCACGGCGACGCTTCGGGTGAAGGACTTTGGAGGCGAAGGACGCGTCTTGGACGAATTCCTATGATAAAAACATATGAAAACAATGGAGAAGTGGCGCCTATACGAGCCGGACTCCCTTTTCTTTAGACCAAGTGAATGCCTCTCATTGAACTTTTCTGAGTCTGTTAGCCAAGACTTAAGTTATATATGAATCGTTATGAATCTGTCTTTTTCCTTTGGACACGATGCACTTGCGAGCCAGACAAGTCTGAGCCAGGAGTGATTCACAACGAGTTTTGCTTTGTCTCCCAAGGGCGTATAGCATGGTATTGCCAATGTTGGTAGGCTCCTTCCTTTCCTTGTTTTGTCATTTGCCAGCTCAAGATGCCCTTCCCTTCCCGGGTGGCTTAAGAGGTGCGAGATAAGCTTGTCTCACTTGGCTTGTTCACTGGGGGCTTAGGTTGGAGGCCATTGCTATTAGGTTGGCCATCTACGTTGTCTTTGCCAGGCCCTGCAGTTCCTTGTGCGAGTCCGTGGGGAAGGTCTGCGTGGCACTCAGTGAAACACCTCGTTCATCAGTTTACCGGTGCTACTAGGAGCAAAGGGCATCGCTACTAGGAGCAAGGAAGCTACTAGGGGCTCCTGGCCTTACTACTAGGAGCAAGGACGTTACTAGGAACAA